CCTCATAGCCCACGGCATAAGTCTAACAGAGTATCATAAACCCCACTTAACCCCCCCCTCCCACTCCAAACCTATCTGCAAACTCCCGCTTCCGGTATCATATCATACGCCTCGCTCCCCGCTACAATACAAGGCGAAACATGTCATAACGCCCGAGTGAGCGCTCATGCCCCCCCCCCAACAAATAAATATAAAATGATAATTTCGAATTCAAATTACCGCAAGGGAGGCTATGTATGCAATACGATACCGTAAAGTATGAGGTGTTTGGAAAAATGAAGGAAAGAGGGAGTAAGGACGGAAGATGCTCAGGAATGGAATGAGAGGCAGAATCAGAAACAGACTTCCGGGGAGATTTATGGATTGATGGACGGATGGACGGTATTGCATATAAGGCTTATAAGGAAGTGGACAAGACAAGCAGAGGAAGAAAGCTTCCATGCCCGAACTACAAGAGATTGGAATATCGTCGCTGGGATGGACAGACAGGACAAAGGTCAGCTATGACGATAGCCAGAAATACCCAATCCACCCATCCAATCTCGCCCATCCATCGCAGCACAACACATCAAGGCAGCAGAGCAAGAGTAAAAAAAGAATCCTCACATATCACACAAACTACCACTGCTACTACCACTACCAGTACCACTACCAGTACCACTACTAGTTCAATCAATCACACAGAGGAAAAAAATGAACGCAGAACGAAAAACAAGCCTTCCACTACAACAACTGAACTATAAAAATAAAATAAAAATAAAGTATGATAGAAGAACTCCCCAGACAAGTGGAAAAAGTAAAAGAAAAAAAAGTAATGACCCGCAACAACACAAACACATACCGGTACTACTATTAGAAAAAATACCTTTTCATCTCCCTCGAGTCCAGTTTTTAATCAATCAATCAATCAATCAATCGAATAGTCCGCCTCACTGCGTTTGAGGGGGGGGAAACATGTCCTTTCTTCCCTTTTTCCCCTTCTTCCCTTCTCCTCTCAAAATATATCGTGTTCTGTCGTTCACCTTCGTTTTTCCCGTCTGCGCCTCCGCTCGATGCCATGCCCTTATACAACCCTCCTCACTTTTTGGGGGGGGTTTTCTCTCTCACCTTCCGCTGTTTGATAGCAGTGGCTGTCGTCGTTCCACCGTAGTAGTAGTAGTCGTAGTAGGCTCTTGTGATTTTTTCGTCCCGCCCAAGGAATCCCCGTTCCATCTGCCGTCCAACGGCCGGCCTGGTAAATTGAATATGGTAAATAAAAAAAGGAAAAGTTAAATGAGTTAAAATGAGATGCCCTCCGTTCCATAACAAGAAAAAAGTAAAGGAAAAAGAAAAAAAAAAGCAATTTTATTTCCACCCTTCCCCTTCTCCGAAAGGATATTTTAAAACAAAAGACACATTTGATCTAAGCAATGAGATAGATACTGTGCGTGCTTTAAGCAGCTGCTGTTTCAGCCTTCTCCGCAGAAGCCACATCAGCGGCTTTAGCGGTGGCATCGGCGGAGTCTGCCTCCTTGGTTGGGGTCAATGGCACACTGACATCGACGATCTTCTTCTCGCCGGCCTTGGGCTCGCTGCCGGATTCCTTTTCACCGGCATCCTTGCTGTCGTCTTTCATCTCGACATCGTCGTCGCCCTTAATACCATTCTCCTTCTCGGCGGCCGGGGGAGAGGAGCCAGGGACCTTGTCTGCGAGTATTTTATCCCATTTCTCCAATAGAGCGAGAGCGCGCTTACGGAATCTGTACTCGTCGTCTTTAGGGATGAAATCGAGCTTCACAATCGCTTTCAGAACCTTATTAATCTTGGTCGTCTAGAGTATCGTCACCACATTAGTAAAATTGTTATTCTCCTTCCAACCAAGTCCTAGGTAGACTGACACGAATAGAATCACCATCAATATCGATATGACCTTCGAGAACGCCAAAGTATTTATCCATAGCTGGCATGTCCTATACATAATATATGATCAGAGCTTGCTAGAAAACGTGAATTGGAAAAATGACTTACATCGGCAATCGGCATCTTGCCTTTACTAAGGAAACCACGTTGCATTCTGTGCCTGAGATACAGTATCTCCTTGGTTCTCTTTTCACCATTGCCACCCTTCTTCCCGCCCGACTTAGGAGCAGAATCAGAGTCGGAATCAACTACACGGTCTGTGCTCTTGGTAGCAGCCTTCTTACGCGGAGCTGGCGATTTCTTATCATCTTTCGCTTGGCCCTTCTTCGCGCTCTTGCCACTAGCCTTAGATTTTGCAGTTCCGTTTGACGGAGTCTTGGCTCCTTTGGTAGTCCGAACAGCCTTGGCCTGCGATTTTTTAGGGGTCTTCGCAGAGGCAGCCTTCTTGGGAGTTTTTGCCGGCTTGTCTGGAAGGGCATCGTCCTCATCATCAGAAACAGAATCCGACTTCTTGCGCTTCTTATTCGGAGTCTTCTTGGCCGATTTCTTCTGCTTAGGTGTCTCCTCCTCCTCCTCGGATTCCTCGTCGACCTCTTCTGCTTCAAGATCATCATCAACTTCGGGAGATGCCTCCGCCCCCACACCTTCTCCCGGTCCGGCAGCCCCTTCTTCGACGCTAAACTCATCAACATCCATCTCCACAGAATCTTGATACGATTTGACATCATCAAGGTTTAAGCCATTTTGAGCAACAGACCAGGCTTCCTGGAGAGGCTTGTTCTTGGAACCCTTTGGTGCATTGGTCAACTTTTCATCATCGAGTGGTTCCAAATTGCTAATGCTCATCCAGGAACTGTGTAAAGGGAAGATTTCATGCGTCAGCTCGTGACCTCTAACGAAAGTGCGCTAGGTAGCAAAATCGGAATGGCAATGATAAAGGCAGTGAAATGAGCGAATTTTTTTGGCAAACACAGTAGAGCGGTAATCTCGCGTTCCAGGAGAAGATGCGATTATTGAGAATAAAAAAGCAACTAGCTTCTAGGGGAAATAATAAACTTACTACTCGTTCGTACCCATAAACATAACGGGCCAGCTTGTTGGAGCGGAAGGAGCGGCCGAAGCCGAGGCCTCGCCTTTCTTTCCGGATTTTCCACTCGGTTTCGTCCTCACTAATGCTTCGGGAAGAAGCTCATCGCTCAATATGATGGCAGGCCAAGGAGGGAAAGTTCTCATTTTGGCGAGAACGCTCATTCCGGGCTGGTAATCCACATCGACGACAGCTTTCTTGGTAGATCTAGGAGTCTTCCCTTTCAAATTGGCGGAGGACTTCTTCTTGGTAGGCTTGGGTGTGGTGGTTGCCCCTGCCTTGCGTTGTCTAGTAGACTTTCTGGAGGGGTCAGCGGAATCATTTTCCGCCCCCTCAACCTTCTCTTTCTCATCTCCAGAACCAGTGGCGACATTCTCTCTCCCCTTGGCTGCCTGCTTAGCATCCGCTTTGCTTTGGTCGCCCTTGGGCGCGTCTGTAGTGTCGTCATCGACCGCAGTCTTCGGCTCAGACTTGATCGCAGAGCCTTCATCGACATCCATCTTATCTCCACAGTCTGTATTAGCTTGATCAGTATTGTTTGGTTTATCAACTTGCGCGTCTTTCTCTGCGGCCGGAGAGGTAACGGCTTTCCCTTCGGTAGTGGCGACAGTATTCTCCCTGGGAGAGTGTGATGGCGTATCGTTGGCCATGTCGAGCCAAGGTAATAATAATTTGATTAGACGCGTAGATGAGGAAGTTAATTGGTTATGGGGAAATTCGTTAGATGGTAGTTGTTGTGTTTACCAGAGAGGGAGTGAGGAAGGGAAATTAAAAGTGAAGGTATGTTGTGGTTGTTGTGAGCGGGAGAAGGGAAGGGGAGAAGGGCGGGATGAAGGGAAGGGAAGGGACGTGTGGTGGTCGAGGTGGTTGCGATGGTGTGAAGCAGGAAGGGTGTGTGGTTGAGAGCGAGGGTTGGAGGAGGACGAGGGTTGTGATGTGGTAATGGGTGGTTGTCGAAGGAACGAATCCTCGCCCAAGTCCCAAGTCCTAACCCAAGGATGGATGCGCGCCCTAGAAACCAGAAGAAGGAAAAAATTATGGGCAACACGCCGGACAAGGCAGGAGCAGGGAAATTTTTCGAATTTCCTGGTTTGGCAGACGAGAGGAAAGAAGATTGGGAAAGAGCAGAAAAAAATTGAGATTTTTAGAATCGGGAGTGCTGATTGAAACCAAAAGCGTTTAAAGCGGGAGGGAAAAGGCCAGGTCCTTTTGCTGGGATTATGAGGGAGGAATAGATGGATGATGGAGGGTCAGAATTTTTGATCGTGGACGGATGATGGGTGAATCGAAAGGGCCAGCCCTGGTTGGATAGTTGAAGAAAAAGAAAAAGGTGAACCGCTATCTTCCCTGCTTCTTTTGTGTTTCCTTCGTTCCTTGCCATAGAAACCTATCTGTGTTGTAGGGGCAGAAAAACAAGATCGACATCAGAAGCTGCCGGTACGAGTACTGTAATCCACAATTGGGGAAGGTGTGGTGCTGGTGTGTGGTGAAAATACTACGAAAAAAGGTATCATACCTATGTCAAAGGTTTTCACATATTCCCGCCATAGAAATTCACCCTCATAGACTCAGCATGGGATTCTCATAATCTCTACTTCTTTGTTTGCCCTTTCGAAAAGGAATCGCAGGGTCCGATAATGCAGAGTCGAGACGATACCATGGTGATACCGTACCGTACCGACACAGCACTCCACTCATAACAATCCACAATTAACTTGCCGTAATACACATCGCCCCAATCAGGATAACCCCCTCCTCCCCCCCTCTAAACTACTTAGTATATACAGTCACTAACAACCCACCCCCCGAAGAAGGCACAAGGCACAGTATCGTGCGCAAATAACCAACCTAACCCTGCTATCAACAAAATTCCCTTGGGGTCAAGTACCAACACCATCCAAAAAACGAGATATCAAGAGCACAAATCCCGTTAAAAATGTGACGGGAGTTAGGCCACAGTAAGAAAAATAGCCCCTCCATTATATGAACCAAAATCAATGGAGGAAAGGAAGATAAAGTCACTCAGTCAATCAAATGGCTGCATCCGATTGCAAGAACGATCCGGTTTGGTATATCCTAGCCGGTGGGTAGAGCCCGAGAACTGCATTCTGTCTGCCAATATTTTGCCATTCCTTTTTTCCTCCTGTCGTTACCCAGCCCATTCGTTCATCCCCCGGGACCCCTTTATGCTTTCCTCCACCAGTCCTCTTCACCCTCCTCCTTGTCCGCTGCATAGATCTGCGATCCCTCGGCTTCACAATCCCTGAAGGGCTTATGCACCCTCAAGAGATAATAGACCCAGTCTTCCAAGACGAGGAGATTACATAATGCACCATTAATTTGCCACCCAAGCAGCGCCACGAATAAACCAGCCACAGCATCAAGGATGTAATGATTGGCTGTTGCAATGATTGCCACAAGAATAGTCAATGGATACGACACGCCGAAAATTATGAGTAAGATTCTCCTTCGTAGGTTATTCGCATGAAGAGATGACGAAGGAGGCATAGTCGCGATGGTCAATCCTATCACAAACGAGTACCCGAAGTGAAGTGATGGCATAGCCGCTAGGTATCAAAATTAATCCCTGTCAGCTTGTTCACGATTTCAGAAACACAGGCATTCAGAGGGTGGGTGAGGGATGAAAAGCGATGGGGAGGGATATATATACCTAATTGATTGCAGAACCTGTTTGTTGTCCACACGCTTGCTACTTTTCCCGTATGCACAGTGTCGATAAACCCAAAGCCGTCTTCCTCGGGAAGTAGGCGAGGAGGCATACATGGCCATGCAGTGAATATGACAAACGCCATCAGGTTGCAAATTGCCAGAGCTCGTCTCCTAGCTTCAAAGAGCGAAGCCGGTGCGTAATGATGCAGCCATGCGATGAAGGTAATTGTCCCCGGGATATGGATAAAGGAATATATGCGATTAATAGCAGTAAGTAGAAGGGGTTGAGGTAGAAAGTATCTTTGGATCGCTGGCTCCAAGAAGATACCCAGACTCTGTTCAAGCCGGACTAGCGAGAGAGCATTCAGACGTGCCTGTACAACGGTTTCCAACTTGAGGGTAACTGCGGTAAGGGCTCTCCCGAGTTGGTATGTCTAACAAACCAATTAGCAAGTTCAACTCACCGATTCCAGGTAAAAAAATATCGACACTCACCCAATAAACCAGTAACCAATACCACACTTCTACCAGAAACGGGAACTTCCTCAGCAGTCTGGATACAAGTGTATGCTTCCAGCGTGCAGTGTTCCGGCTCTGGATCCTCCTCCCGAAGAACTTTCTCTCCCGGTATTGCGGTTCTAATAGTGGAGATGATAATAGTCCCTCCGAAGACGATGACGAAGCTGGCGACCAAGTGCCGTTGTTTTGAGGGGTTCGTTGCCGATTGAGAATTACTCCGGCGGAGAGGATTGAGAACACAATCAAAGGCTCTAGATAGGCGTCTGCAAACATTCTCTACGGAAGGAAAGCTGCAGGTTTCTTTCTGGCTTATGTTTTTCTGAATTCCCCTACGACAGCCCTGTCCTTTATGAAGGAGCTATTTCTGTTCTCCCAGCTAAAAGAAAGAGGCTAGATAAAAATCCCCCAGAAAAGGTAGGTCGTCCAGAAGAGGCCAGGCAAACACCGATACCACACGTGAGGTGTTAAATTAGAGACCAACCAGCTTTAGTGATGTGAACGCTACCGGTATGCATGGGAATGAAGGGCGTGGCGGTAGCCAGTCCTGTGTGCAAGTGCCAAATTCCGAACAGCGAAATAGCCAAAAGGGAGGAGGATAAAGAGTAAGAGCGTAGGATATTCTATGGAATGAGAGGGGGAACAAATACTTTAGATAGAGCCACATAACTGCACTCCCCACCCACTGCACATAAATCCCAATAGGCGCGAACAATGCGGGTGCTCCTAAATTTCTCCTGAACAATATCTCGGTTGGTCGGAGAGAATGTTCACCGGAATTTCCGTGAGCATCCATGAGTGGGGCCCTGCGAGGCTCTCCATGCCCCAAGTAAGTTCCCATCAAAGTCACGCAACCAAATCCACACCAGTGGAAGTGCTGCACGAGATCAGCTTCCCTGCAATAATTCCTCTTTGTGTCGCGAGTGCCGCCACGGATGCCGGATGTTCAGGGTTCCACAGAGTCAGTAATCCACCAAGAGTGTTGAATCAGAGACACGGTATAACCATGATTACTCCAGACTTATGGCAATACGGCTACACCGTAGACGGAAAGACAAGAGGAACAAAGAAAGGCAGATTGCTGAGAACGATGTCCTTACTGTAATTTAAGTTAATCCATCACATACAAATGTGTAAACCTCGCCTCGGGATCTAAGCAAGTGGATTCTCGACCGATCCTCAAGAGCACCGAAAGGGAAAGAAAAACTCTACAATTACGGCATCGATCGCCATATCGCGTTGTCATCACACCTATCACCAACGACCTTCGGGAGTGGTCAAAGAGCCGTCACACCAAGAAAGGTGGCGTTGGGTACGAACCAGGGCATCTGCTGGCAACGGCGCATATAAAGCCCAAATGCCCCATTTGATCTGTCAGCAGTGAGCTTCAAAGATTACTCGACTGCCCGACTTCCTGTTACACCCCCGTAGCCAGCACATCTACCGGTACCCGCCATTCCTCCTCCACTCTTTGAGCAACTGATACCATACGGTATCATAGGGCTCCCCTGGCTCTAAATTCACAACACAACAATTCCACTGGGGGGCGTCCTAGAGGGTAAGTTAGGCTATCGATTTTAACGGGATTTACACGAGTTATGTCCGGGCATCTCCGTTACGATACCAGGAAGTGCAAGAGGTGCCACGGGCCAATCGGCTGTCGTGCGCCGTGATCGCCGGCGGCATTTCCACGTTTATCGACACGGCAAAATTCATTCCTCCAGGTTCCAGCTGCTTGCTTCCTCGCTGATTAATCCGGAAACACAAGCCAACGGCCCGAGATCGATCCGCGATTCTGGCATCATAGGCCGGAGGACTAAAAGTTGCCCCCTTTCCCGCGTCCTTGTGTGGTACAGGTACGTCAAAAGAGGAATTGTCCGGTCCGAATCGACTCGGATACAAATGCCAACTCCGTTCATTCCGGGCCTCCCCATTCTGAGTTCCAAAACTCCTCTAAGGCAAATGTAAGAAATATATCATAAAAGTCATAAAAAAGGAAAGAAAAAATACTTAAGACGCGTGACACCTTCACTTACTCGTAGGCTATGTGAAACAGAGCCGCATCATGGTAGCGAAGCTCCAAGATCATGCAAGTTCATGCAGGTAGAAAGAGAATCCAATCCAGCAAATGGAACATACCCGACCATCACTCAGCCACCCATTCCGATTGTCTGACCCCTCCAGGCTCCAGCGTCTCAGCTACCCCCACCCCCTCCAAGCCAAACTCTGATGCTTCCTACTGTAGTCAGCATATTAACACTCGCGAATGAGCCAATACCGGCACAATGCCAAACTCAAAGTGTCAAGTCTAGGATAAACTTCAGATATCACGCAGCGCAGCAAACCCAAAACGCGTGCTATCTCGGGACAGAGTGAAGGCGAGATTGTGGTGCTGCTGCTACTGACATATTTATCGCATATGATTATGCATTTTGCGTACGTACCGTAAGGCATCGGGGTCGAGTATTGTTGGTGAAATTTTCGACAAGGAGAGAGGAAATTTTCCGTGAGGGAAGGGGATGATGATTTCTTATAGTGTCATCGGACCCAATTCCGCTCCACCCTCATCTACGAGTACCATAAAAATACTGCGCTTAGTTGGTGATGGAATGGATTCGCACACCCCCACGCTTGAGAAAAGAGGCCCGGTGCCGGGGTTTCCGGGTTTCGTCTGGGGTTGAGAATTTTCCGTACGATAGGATGGTGTTCCGAGGCTCAAAAGCTGATTTCTTATAATATCATAGTCTAATATATCACACCTTTAGTGGTCTAGGTGGTCAGGAGCGAGGTTTTGTTGTTTGGTAGAACGACTAGATCATGGACTCTGACCGGGGATGTTCAAAGATGCATGGTCCATCACCGGTTTATGACTTTGATTTTGATATCATACTATCATACTAACAGCCGCACGTCAGCACGAATTTCATCACAATAATATTATCATAATATTATGATACCGCACCATGAGTCCGGGCGATCTACCGGTGCCGGTGGTGTTGAGAGGGGGACGAAATCTAGAGATGTGGAGTTCGTAAATTACCCTAACCCGCGGGGACCCCGACTGCGCAGAAAAGAGCAACGGACACGCGCGAAGGGGCATGTGTTACATGGAAGGAAAAGGTGTGGAGGCAAATACTCGTAGTCTAATCGACACCACACACAATCAATGGATGGCTTGTCCGAACCCCTACCCAGTGGGATATGATAACCCATGATACCGCACGATCCGAGCATCTGTCGTCTGCTCGGGCTAAGGCAGAGATAATTTACCTGTACCTCAGAGAGTCGAACTGTCGGGCCAGCAACCTTTAGGGGCTTGAACGAAGGATTTGTTGCATCGTAAAACGCCTAGGGACTATCCAACCCATTGAATATAGACACCAATTTCAACGCAACCGGTCCTCATTCTAGCGTTAATGAAAAATCCACAAATGAGTGATAAGTCATGACCCCCCCATAAACCCCTCTACGGTAGTATATAAGGACCCGGTATGATAGACTACTGTATGATATCGTATGAGAGCACCCCCAAGAGCCCCACCATCAGATTACCGGCACCGGTATCCCAAAACAAGGTAATGGAATCACGTGACAGTACAGCCGCTGCCAAACGTCGAACCTCTGCTCTGACACCAAAGCTCTTTCACCTCGCCTCACCTCACCTTGCCGCAATCTTCCCTTGCTCGCTCACTGACAACCCCAACACCATACCGATACCCCCTTTCCAGCCAACCAGCCAACGGGCAAGCAAGCAAACGAACAAATACACCTCCACGAACCACCAACTAATAAGCTATCCGAAAAACTTTCCCTGTTAATCGATTGATGAGATTGTAAGGAAACACACCAATCCAAGATGGCGCAATACTTCCTGGACCTGGTTTATTCCCTTACCACCTGCATGTCCTGCTTCCCCTCGTCACCGAACTTAACCATAAACCATCGATCATTCAAGATCCTGCGATTGCTCGGTGAGGGCGGGTTCAGCTATGTCTATCTGGTACAAGATAACGCAGGGGCTTTGTATGCTCTTAAGAAAATTCGCTGTACTTACCACTTCCCCTATCCCTTCTACCTCTAGCGAAACATGGCTGATAGCATGCCAACCAAGGCCCTTTCGGTCAAGAATCTGTCCAACGCGCTATGAAAGAGGTCGAAGCGTACAAACTCTTCAATCATGAAAACGTGATAAAATCCGTCGATTACACAATTACTAGCGACCGTTCGGCGAGTACCACCCTGGGCCGCAGCGATGATGGCGATGACGGATCGCAGAAAACGGTTTACATATTGCTACCGTACTTCCGTCGAGGGAATCTACAAGACGCCATCAACGCAAACTTGATCAACCACACTATCTTTCCGGAGGGCAGGCTAATGCGGCTGTTCCTGGGTGTATGTCGGGGACTACAGGCCTTACATGAACACCGTTTGAAGCGGCCCGGCGAGGTGCGTGCTGGTGCCGGCGCAACAGCAGGAGGAGGATCGGACGAAACCACAGAGCCCCTAATGACCCCCGACGTCCTCTCCACCCAAGAGGGTGGCCAAGAAGGCGACATAAGAGCCTACGCCCACCGCGACATAAAGCCCGGAAACGTAATGATAGACGATGACGGTCTCCGTCCAATACTTATGGACTTCGGCTCCATGACGCCAGCGCCCACACCAATAACATCCCGCACGCTAGCCCTCTCAGTACAGGATAACGCCGCCGAGCACTCCACAATGCCATACCGTGCGCCAGAACTCTTCGACGTTAAGACTGGCTCTGTCATCGATGAGAAGGTCGATATCTGGTCCATGGGTTGCACCCTTTACTGCGCGCTCTATGGAGACTCCCCGTTCGAATTGGCTACTGAGGAGTCTGGTGGGAGTCTTGCCCTCGCGGTGTGTTCGGGGTCGTATACCTTCCCCGAAGAAGGAAGGTTGGGCGGGAGGAAACCGGGACAGAGACCTGTTAGTGAGGGGGTTAAGGAGATTGTCAGGATGTGCTTGAAGGTTGAGCCCGCGGATAGGCCGAATATTAGGGAGCTGATTAGGGAGGTGGAGAGAGTAATCGAGACGTCAGGGGAAGGTGAGGAGTGACCTTTTTTCCGCTTCGTTGGTAGGGAGGGAAGGGGGTAGTTTCGTTATAACAAAAAAAAAAAAACCCCCATCTTATTTGAAAGTTTATTGCGGTACTTTGCTTATTTTCGTTCGCTTGTTCGCGGGTTGGGTAGGTGGCTGGTTGTTTTAAAATCGGTCGATTCAGGACCTGTTTTGCATGTACCAAAAAAAATAAAAAATACTGTAGTATCATATTTCCATAAACGAATGTGTTTGGCGGTGCTGGGTCTTTTAATGGAGTATTTGGGGACCTTGACATGTCCCTGTAGTATCATATTTTCTGAACAATACTGTAGTACGTGTGACATGCCAAACACTAGGCTGAGCAAAAAACGCTGCGTAAAGGTGGGTGGAAATACAATAGTATTTCTGGCGCGCCAAATGGGGCCTCATCGACCTGTCATGTACTGTACAGTACCAAACTTGTCCACGAAAAATCACTCGAAACTAACCTCCATTGAAAAAAAAAAAAAAAAAAAGAGGAAACAAGAAAGAGGAAAGGGGGAAAATGAAAAAAATAAAATAAAAAAGGAAAGACTGTAACATTCAGTATCATAGAAATTTATGCATGCAAAGAGCAGGTGGCCAACCTCGTAGCATATTGTGGTTATCGTATCAATCAATTCGGCCCAACAATCAACCAATACAAATACACGCCGACTTACTTCTCCCCCTCCGGGTCACCCTTTCTCTCCCTCATCCCGGACATGGGAAAAATAAGGGGTGGACACTCCCACGTAGAAATTGTTCAATTAATTTATTTAATAACTCATTACCCCACAAACTCACGAACGAACGCACTACCCCTGATGCAACTTCTTAACCCTCATGCCACCCTCATACAATCCCCGATCAATCGCCGCGGCAACCGTGAGTGTTCCACCGATGACGGCGCACACACCCGTCAAGAATCCCGCGAAGGATTTAGCGCGGACTTCGCGATTGATGACTTTCATTGGGGAGATGTCCTATTATTCATATCAGCTACTGGATACTAGCTGGGGGAGGTTGTGGGGGGGTTACATACGTAAGAGAAGAAAACGCCCGGAATCCCGCCGCGGGCATGAATAGTGCTTGCATGCTCCTTATCCGCGCCGCCCATTAGGGAGCGTTTATGGCTGGTCACCGAGTACTGGTGCGTCTCTATCGCGCCGGGGATGTAAGAGTTTTCCGAGGTGCCGAGGGGGAGGTAACTGGTTGAGACGACTTTGATGAAGTACATGAAGTTGAAGCTGCGCTCCTGGGTGACCTGTCTTGAGTCGTCGAGGGGGTTACGCTGGACTTTGACGTTGGCGGGGAGGTCCGGGCCGAAGGAGAGATGGTGAATGGTGTGTGTGAAGGTGTGCTCCTTTGTGCTGGCAAAGTACTGGTTGAGGTCGTGCACGTGCATTTGTGCGCTTGAGAAGGACTTTCCGGGTGCGATGTGGAAGTTGCCGATCACCTTGTTGACGCTGAGGTGCCCGGCTATGTTGCATCCTTCCTCGCGCATCTCGTCAAGGCGCTCGGCGTAGTGTTCCCGCTCGCACTGCTCCACGCCTTCTCCCTTGCCGAAGGCCCAGCCGATGGATGCATACGCCTCGCGCACGTCTTCACAGGTTTGGCAGCAGCCCTTGTCCTTCTCGGGGCCTGGGGCGCCATAGCATTTTCCGCAGTAGGCTGGGTCAAGATGGGATGCCGTGTCCTCGTGGACGTTCAGGGAGGTGGTGGAGACTGGTTTAGATTCTGGGAAGGGGGTTAGACGAGTTAGGTGGATTCCGTGGGTTATTGAGGATTGCTGCTCGCCAGAGACGTCCATTACGTCCAGGGTTAGAAGCTCGCAGGGGATGTGGGGGAATGTTATGTTGAGGCTTATGGGGAGTTGCTGTCATCCCCTATTAGCGATTGGCCTTCTTTCGTATTCTCGGAGATTGTGAGGGAGAGGGAGTCGAGGGATGATATATGTGGTGAACGGAATGGACTGACCTCCCCACGAGTCTTGTCAACAACTAACTCCGGGAGCACCTGAATCCGCCGATACTCCCGGAATTCACCAACCACCAGAACGAACACAACAAACAAACTGACGAGAGTAACTATTCCCCCAGAGGTGGTCCGGACACGCGCATCCTCCACCGTCTTGGTGAAGGCATCCAGACGGGTAAGCCGTGAGCCTCGTCCCATTTTAAATTCCGGTGGGATAGGGCAAAAATCAGAAGATTTTGTTACCGTATCCGGGGTGAAAATGAGTGAATAAATGAAAACAGTAGAAAGAGAGTAGGAAAAGCCCTGCTATGGAGGGGGTGAAAAGCCTAGGAGTGTGATTGCGGGGAGAAGGTGGAAAGAGGGAAAGTTGGATTATGGAGAAATTTGCTGCGGCCTGGCGCGAAGAGGCCACAGTTGTCTCGAGGGATGAAAGTTCAGGGGATAATCCCTGCCGAGTACCCTTGCTTGGGCTTGTGCAACGTGAGGTTCTTGGTGACCCAGGAGCCATTGAATGTAAGAGGAGCGCAGAATTTCTATGCGAATCGGTACTGTACTAGTACTCGTATTATACAGTACTCTTGGGGATCTGGTGGAAAACTACCGTATTATCTCGCTTGCTTTGCTCGGTGTTTACTGTAATTCGCTCTCCCCCTTGCTATACTCGAGCAGGGCCACACTCAACGCACTTTGATGTGTGGAACCGGTAGACTACACTGATCCCATTCGTGCCGGGGGACCGGCTCTGGTATGGCAACGTTCGAGAGGAGATAGTGGCCAAGCTCCGCTGATAACACGCAAGTCGGACGCCAGTGGCAATGCGAGGGCACTACACTGCACGTCCACAGTATGGAGGGGGTTAAGAAACAACAGCCGTTCGGACTGTTGACTTGTGGGGGGCGAATGAGAGAGTGTGCTGGAAAACAATGATTGAAGCCCCTAGTCGGGGGAGCTGGTTGTTTCGCCGTGAGTTTGATAGAAGTGGCTGCATTTCAAGTGTGTTATTGGACCCTGAGGATAAGTATGAGAGCTTGAACATGACAACCCCAGCATAGCATGGTGGCCTCCGGAAGGTGAGGGGCAATAAGTATTTTATAGTTCTATTATTTTGTTTTTCAGAAGATAGTGATCTCGAGTGAATCGGGGACTACTTGAGTGACAAACTGGCCGTAGGAGAGGGTAGTCTGTTTTGGGGACTCGTAGTATCTTCTATTAGGGAACGTTTGGGTTCTTGTAGTCACTGTATTTCATACGATATGATACCGGTATTCCGTTCATTCTTCTTATTTGAAGCACCAATTAATTAAGATGCGGTAACCAGGATGGGCACTCCCCGGTGTTGCCCCGCCTACCGGCACTTTTGATGACCAGTACGAGATCAGTATTTTTTGGCCGCACCTTCTAACCAGCAAACGTCCACAATATATCTGCCCGAAATCAGCTGTCCGGAAAGCCCCAGCCAGCATTGTCGGTTGGTTACTGTTTCCGCCATTACACAATTGTAGGAGTGAATTCACAGTATCCTGCCGGCCATGTCATTAGCCGGTATCCGGCAGTGGCTTGGGGTGTAAGATAGTGTTGAGGCTCTCCCGGGTTCCACCACTATACTCGGGTAGACTACTGAAAGCGTTGCCAAGGTTCACCGACGCCAGCTCGAGCTGAGGCTCTTATGATACTCACATGATCTCCACAGGGATCTAGATTGCATTCATGATTGGCAGAGTGGCCTATGCGTTGCTCTTGTGAATGATAGCGGTATGATATGAGCATTAAAGGGCCCTCTATCGCTAGCCTACCCCATCGCATCTTGGTGGTTTGAGGGCAAGGTCATTGGGGAGCTTGCTGATACGACCGGTTGGTGGTGGGTTACAGTATGTATGATACATACCTGAGGAGGGGGTGAAAACGGTGGTGAATCGGGTAGGGATATGGTACAAGTACGACAGCGGCTTCGTCCCTTTGCCGTATGTGTTTGCTACCGGCATCATATCGCAACTCCAGAACTGGTGGGGCCAGGCGTGCAAAATTTCTGCGGGTATGGCATGATATCGGTATAATTTCGAATAAACGAGGGGAATTGAGTCATGGAGCAGCCTTTGGACTCCATTCGGTAGATCATGGCCCACTTCCATTCCCCATTTTGCCGTCTTCTCTCAGCAGAGGTATAATAGCTGGGTGCTACAGCAACCGTACCAGTATGACACCGGTACAGTACCAGAATCCCCATAGAACTGTAGCCTGTGGTTGCATGTAGAGATTGTTTCACGAAATCCAAAAGTCGATTGACAAGGCGGGGCCATCATGCCGCGTTTAGCATTCTTCCACCCTTTTGATACATGATATTATATTATTAAACTGGAAAGGAATGGGAAAACGAATAGAATGAAAAAACTGCGAGCTATTCAAAAGCCCTGCTGCCCCGTTGGGGTAGCGGTATTGAGCCTCGTCTTGGTCTCTGGGGCTTTGTTTTATCGTATCCCATGATTGGGTCTTGGCGTGTCGATGTTTCAAGAAGGGGAGTCACACATGCAAGCAAGGCTGGTTTTGGATACGCCAAGATGTTTGTTCGGCCCCACTGATGGCTGGTCTTCTTTTCCCCCTTCTCTCTTCCTCTTCCCTCATCTTTTATCCACCACCACCACCACTGCCCAAACACTCTTCTCGAAGGTCTTCAAAAAAAGGAAAATATCCCCCAACATACCAAAATACCAAAAACCAGCCCTCTCTGCTCTGCTCACCCCCATCACTATTTATCTCCCATCAAGAGTCGTTTTCACTTCGAGCACCGACCAACGCGTTTAGGGATCGAAATTGTCAACTCTACAAGGTATGTAGCTCCTGCTCGCCCCCCTTTTTTGACTCACACCTTCGAGGAGCGAAAGTAGAAGACAATCGGCTGCTAGCTGTTGCGCAAAAATGAAGACGTGGGCGGTTTCTCTCTTATCGCTCCCACGTCGCTTGCTGCACCTAGTCCACCCTTCGACGTCCGTCCAGCATTTGGGAGAGTCTTTTTGATCATCGTGAGTTTTGCTGATTCTAGGAGTCATCCCATATCCGCTCCTCTCGGGTCTTCCCGTTATAGGCGGTATACGGATACCAGAAACCCCCCCCCAAAAAAAAAAAAAACACTCCTAAACAAACACTCCTAAATAAACCTTTTTCTCCTTCCCTCCCAACTTGTGTGCCACGGCCGTCGTTTAAACGAAGGTCCGTACTCACTAAACATCCACAAAAAAACAAAAAACAAAAAACCCTCAAAGAACTGCAAACATTCAGATAGCAATGAATTCTACTGCTCTTCGCCCCCAGGGGTCTCATGGCGGCATCACCAAACGCGCTGGTGGTCGTACTCGAATTGACAGAGACGGAGATCTTGATATGGATGGTCCTTCTGGAGGACGCGGTGGCCGTGGCCGAGGAAATAGAAACAGGGGCGGTCGTGGTGGTGGGGCCGGTGCTGTTTCTAGAGGAGGGCGATCGGGCGCTGGTTCTATTATCCCCGCTGGTCCTGCTGCCAGTCGTATGGATCTGAATCAGAACAGGAATAGGGGGATCCCAGCGAGAGGTCCTCGGAATGGAATAGTATCCGTTTCTGAAACACTAGTTGAGGTTAGAATCACAGGGTGGAAGGATAGCAAGGGTTCTGCGGAGGAGGCAATCGCTTTCCTGGAGAGGAAGAGTCGAGTGAAGCTTCGAAAGGTGAGATATACCATTTGCCCCCACGGGGTCCGACTGCTCCATCCTTCTCAATGTATTCCCTGTTGCCATTTTAGACTTTTCTTGGCTGCATGTGGGTCACTTTGTACTGTTATGTTTATTTGGGAGGCTGGGGAAGATTTGGGGATCGGGCTGGGCTTTGGTTTGGAGGTTCTCAGCAACCTTCGCGGTGTGTTTGGATGCAGAAGATGCCCCCACTCTTGGCGCAAAATCAAGCCAAAGAAACTGCACACAACGGACCAAGATTTGATTGTCGATATTTGCAACTGGACAGCCATTTATTTTCCCTTTTTGTTGAAAGTTGAAAGATAGTTTGGAAGAAGACAGGAAAAACCGATGCTAAGCACCTTTGTTCTGGGGCCAATTTAGACCTTAAAACAAGGAGACACCATCATCGCCCAGGTCCCATTCCCAAAGATTCACTCGATTCTAGAATGGAATGACGCCCAATTTGCATCTTCCAAGCTAAGGCTAGCCGCACCCAGTCTCGGCAGACTCGACGTTACAGAGAGGAGTGAGGCGGTTATCTCACGAGCCAATCCAGCGAATAAGGATACCGTGGACACGATCCTAGCCCTTGAGGGCGTTCTTGCGAATCGGTATAATCCCGAGAGCAAATTCCTAGATCTATCACGGCTCGGTGAGGATGCACTCCTGAAGGCAAACGGCTTCTTCCAACTCAGCAGCACAACCAGCAAGATGTTCCCAGCGCTCATGCAAGTAGCTGAAAAGAAGTTCACGACGGCGCAGCAAAAACGTGACACGGTCCACAGCGTATCGCTAGCATACAATAACCTAAAGGACGTCCGCACCGTCACGAGCCTGAGCGTAACGTTTCCGGACTTGAAGAACTTGAGCCTGGAAGGAAATTCCATCCAGGACTGGAACACACTGGACAGTTGGCGCCACAGGTTCAAGAACTTGGAACAGTTGGTCCTCAGCGGAAACCCGATCACATCACAACAGGGCTACGTAGAGGAGGCCTACCGGCGATATCAGAAGCTTTTAATGCTGGACAATATCCCTGTGGACCCCGCGATCAGACAAAAAATCACGGCGGAGGGCGCAGCACCCGTCCTCCCGCACAAAGTCCAGTCAAGATTCATCCAGGACGACTACGGCGTCGGCATGAAGTTCCTCTCCCGCTTCTTCGAAGCCTACGACGCGGACCGGGTCTCCCTGCTCCGCGAGTTCTACGACGGTGAATCTCTCTTCTCCCTCTCGGTCAACACGTCCGCGCCGCGCACCAAGGAGCAGCAAAACACCCGCCAGTTCTGGGACGAGTACATCCCCAGGTCACGCAACCTGAAGCGCGTCTCGCACTTGAAGGGCCGCACCGATAGACTCGCCATGGGGCCCGACGAGATCGCCAAGTTGTGGGGCGAGCTGCCTGCCACCAAGCACGACCTTGCCAACGGTGATGCTTGGAGCTTCGACATCTGGCCTGTCGAGGTCACGTCCGGCGTCATGGGCGTGCTATGCACCGTACATGCCGAGTTCCAGGAACTCAATAAGGTGGACGGCCCGCAGAAGGTTGTCCGCCGGAGCTTCGACCGCTCCTTCATGCTGCGGCCGGACGTTCTCGGTAAGGTTAAGGTGGCCAATGACATGTTGGTGGTCAGGGCCTATGGTGGCTTCGATAGCTGGAAGCCGGAGGATGGGAGTGGGAGCGCTGGAGGTGGAGGGGAGCAGGAAAAAGGAGAAGCAGCGAAGAAGTCCATGTGTGAGCAATTGATGGCGCAGACCAGGTTGAGGTCGGACTGGGCTACCATGTGTCTTTCGGAGACAGGGTGGAATATTGAAAGTGCCTGGAAGGCGTTTTTGGAGGCTAAGGTTTGTTCAATTCTTCCCCCGCTTCTCATATTCTCTATGGGAATCTTGGACTGATAAGTCGCAGGCCAACGGCGCAATCCCTCCGGATGCATATTTGCCCGATTCTACCACCGCTCCTGCCACTGCCATTGGCGCGAATACTGCGGGTGGCCGAGATGGGATCTTATAGGGTGGATCCATCAAACCCCTTTCCTGTCTTCATGTATCAGAATCATTGTACAGAAGTCACGGGCGACTACAGCTTTTGTTTCTCTCTTTTTTGCACATTTTCATATGTTGGGTTGGCTGGCTAGGGATGGGCTCCCTTTCGTTCATTCGCACATTGATACTCAAGTACAGTACCATATGTCTTTGTCTCTCTCCTTTTTTTTTTGCTTCTTATTATATGTTTGTTGGCTGGTCTGCCTGTCTTAGTTAATGTATCTTGCCCGATCGCAATTGATGGATGGGGGGTAGGGGTATCATCTTCGTCGCCGTTATTATTATCACTCCGATGTTATCAAAGTTCGTTAGACCGGCTGAAGTTTTTTATTTTATTTTCTTGATTATTGGAGCGGATAAGGGTTTTTCGCTGTGAGTAGTGATATAACAACTGGAGCTGAATTGGGGGGGTTTTTGGCACGACGATTTTTGACTGGTAAACCCACTCAAATTGCATGTTTGGCTGGATGCTGTTTCCGGACGGTGGTTTCTGTAGTTTGGGAACGACTCTTTTGGAGGGGTACCATTTAGTTCATAAACCCTGCTTTAACACCAGTTTTACTTAATTAAAGTTGCTTAATTGCGATTCAACCTCTTACACTGATTAAGAATTTTCTCAAACTTTAACAATTCTGCCGTGGTGTTTGGTAACGTACGAGTACAAGTACGCCGCTTAAACGTCACGTACCAAGCACCCTTATATTCATTTCAATTCACCGTTAGTTTGCTTCTCCTTCTCTTCCACCTCCAACTTGACTAACGAGATCCTAAAAGCCGGCAACTCGACACCCACCACCCTAACCCCCCCCTTCCCCTCGAGAAAAATAAACTCGGTAATACTCTGCCCGGCATACGCCCAGGTATCGATGTCGGTGAAACAGGCCCTACTCCAAACCGTCTCTTCCTTCTCTTCATGCGGAGTGAAATTCACACTCATCCTCCAAACACTTCCAATCCCCGTCGGTAACAATCTAAGCGCCACCTCCCCGGGTGCGGGTAAGCCGGCATAGCCTTGATAAAAGCTTGCGAAAAAGGCATTCATGTCCGTGCCGTTGCTGATGAAAGTTTCCACCCCTAGGCCCGGCAGGGTGGGAGTTGTGGTTAGCGTTATGGTGGTGTTGATGCTGGTGGTGGGTAGGGCGGAGTACGTTCCCGCGAATTTTGTCGTTGCCTGGGAGAAGGCGTGGGAGTGTGCCCAGGGTATTAGTTGCGAGATGATGGTGTCCCGGAAGTAGCGGTTCGCGGCGGCAGCGCCAGATACCAGAACGTTTGCTGCGAGGGCGTAGTCTGGGAGGATGATCGTGGTGGAGAGGTAGCCTGCTAGCGACCCGCCTTTTGTTATCACGGGAACCACGTGCCCGTCGGGTGCTAGGGTGTTGGAATAAACCATTTCCCAAGGCATGCCGTATCCGCTCCAGAGACTACCCGTACTGCTGCCGCCCTTGAGCCACCCGTTCATCCGGCCCCGTGTCATCCCGACGCCGCCTAGGCCGGCGCCGTGGTTTAGCAGGCTGCGAAGGAATTTACTGAGGTCTGTGGAACTGGCGTAGAGCCCTCCTGCCGCGTTCTTGATGCCCTCGTCCCAGCGCCAGTCGTTGCGTTCGTGCGGTATCACGCCGGAGGAGTCGAGGGGTTTGTGGAAGGTGGCGGTGAGGTTTAGGGGTGTCAGTATCTTTTCTTGAACGATCTTTTCGAAAGGAGTCCCTGTGTGGCGTTCGAGGGAGAGGGAGAGGAGCATGAAGCCCGCGTTGCAGTAGGATGCTGTTGTCTGCGGGGGGTACATTGGGCGGCGGGCGGAGAAGCCGGAGATGAATTCTGGAGGTCATGTTAGGTTGGAGGAGGGGAGGGGAGAGGTGGGGGATACGCTTCCAGATGCATTGCACGTCACCCCCTGTTATCCCACAGGGGGGGCCGGCGGATTTGGGTAGTGGTGGGAAGCCGTGAGATACAGGATCTTTGAGCAAATCCCCTTCGTCACCATGTCCAAAAAGGTCAAACGCAGCATCTGTAAACACTAATCAGTGACCGAGCCGCCTTCCCTACCCATCAACTGCCGCAAAGGGGTTGGGGGAAAGGAGGAAAGGAGGAAAGAATGAAAGAAAAACCAACATTCCCTAACAACCCCCGCCAAATGCCCTCCTAATGCTCCTAGCGTGATGTCCTCCCACTCAACACCACCCTCCCCATCAACCAATTCGGGAATGTACTTCAAAATCCCATCATCAAGACTCATACCCTCCGTCAGCATCACCGCCAAAACGGTGAATACCTTGGTATTACTCGCAATACGAAAGTACGTATCCCCGGTGACCTCGCTCGGCTCCCCATCCCGGTACTCCCCGAGTATATCGGCGGTGTGGTAAGCTGAGAATATGGTGTTTTCGGCGGTGGTCACCTGCACGGCGTAGGAGGTTGTGTTCGTCGGCCAGGGGGCTTCCGCATTTGTTGGGAGTTTAATGTCGGGCGGTGGGACTAGGGCGTAGTCTGGTATTGGGAATGTTGCGCCGGGGGGGTAACATTTTGCTGTGGCTGTAGGGAGGAGGAGGGCGAGGAGGAGGTGAGTGTGGGGATGCATCGTGCTGGGGGGAGAGAGGATTATACGACGTGCTGGAGGGGGTGGCGGGGCCTGCGGTTGACCTGGCTTGGCGCGGATAGTTATCGATAGGGTGCTGGGGAGGGTCCTTTTCGGTGGTGGCGGCGGCGCTAACGGGTAACATACTAGTAAGACAGATATATACCAGTACGATACTACTCGAGTAGAGTAATAGACTATCGGCCATGTCACGGAAGTTGTTAACGCATTTGACAGAATGTGTCTTTCCATCCACCGAGCCGAGACGTGATTTTTAGGAAGGCAGTATCATATCACTGGCTTAAGGGTATTGTTACGAACTTCCGCTAAAGATCCGAAACCGAGGGAGTCTTCTTTCTGTCTAGACGAATATTTTAATCTGATCGGAAATAAGCAATACCCGTTCCTTCCCAAGAACGGGGTATTACATTTGCACTCAATTTATACTGTTTCTCCCTCATTTACTTTTTCTATCTCCACTGGTACTTTTGCACGGAATCTCGGTTATATCTGTGGTTAGCATATTTGTGTATAGACTATAGAAGGGAAGGGATGTATATGTTATGGTGTGGTATTTGGTGGGTTATGGAGAGTGCCCTCAAGGGGGGGGGGAGGGTCACTTCTGCCGCTCTCGTTCGTGCACTTTCATCTCCTGTTCGCGTCGATTTGCGCGATATGGTTGCCGGTGTCCTTGTGCACCTAATTTCAGTGAATTAAGCCCAGTATAAACGCTAACTGGGTATTTGCACTTTTGATGCTGGGTTCCCGATCTTACGCTACAGTATGAGTTATCGTACCTGTGATGGCTGGGCATGTTCCATCTTGAACTCAGGATTCGGTGATTAGGTGCTTAACAGTATGGCACGCTATTCTATTGCAGCGCTACTCTCTTATGGGTGGGTTTGTAGGTGTTTTTTCAGGAGAGGAGTAAGTTTGAGTACTGTGCTGGAAAGGCTTGAGGTGTATGGTTTCCAGGATACCTGTTGATCCAATACGACCATTGCAAAGGCTAAAGCAGACGCTGCGTGACACTTGCTCCTAGCCGTGAGTATCGAGATCACATTGCGAAAAGAAGGGCTAGGTCGTGACCTTTTGTCTCTTGCCTGGCTAACTCACTGCCCATTTAACTAGCATTTCTTTCATCCCCTGCCTCTCGGAGGCGAGATCTCACGGAAAATATCTCGTCAGCTCTGATGGAAATGGGTGGTTTACTAGGTACCTGGGATGTTCGGCTATGGGGTCCGGTTGATAATCACTTCATATGAAACTATGGGAATGGAAGGGGTAGCCTTCACTTATTCGACCGTAGAATGAGAAAAATAAGGGGAAGTATCATAGTAGAGCACGGGAAGTGTAACTGGCAGGGGTGTAGAGGAGTGAATGACTTCGCTGAGGGTAGAGTTCGGATCGATCTTCTGTCGGGGAAGGCAGGGGATTCGGTGAGCCTCGCTGCATTAGTTAATTGCTTCCCCGAATGTTTCGTTGTGGGTAATATTGACTTTTAAGTTGGTTAGGCTCTGTATCTATTACTTGTATGTGCGCTGTTACTCTTTTGCCTCAGCGTTGCCTTTTTGCGGATAATCAAAGTTGGTATCCGGGCACCAAACTTAACACTATACGAAAGATTGATAGTCTAGGGGGGTTGTTGTGCCACCCTATTTTCTACTAAAGGTACTGTCAATTTGGACACCTAACCAGTTCCTTGGTCTTCATCAATATTTAGGTGGAAATTTGTCCGCATTATGTTGCTCGTGTTGTAGTTTCATGCTGTTCCGGGAGCGTCGAGTCTGCAAAACCATTGGCGGAATATACGAGTACTAAAGTTACTCTATTGCCTACTTGTTGGATAATATCTTACCTCTTAGTGTGAGGCTTTGTCAAAATTCCGTCGTCCAGCAGTACTCGAGACGCGGGGTGGCCAGGATGGAAGGGCCTTTGTGTTCCTCCTCTATCTAGAAGCCTGAGCCGCCCCAAAATGAGTATGGATTCAAGGATCCAATTGAGGGGGGTAAAAACCGACACGGGAGTGTGGATAGAGTGTCATGCTAAGAGAGAGTATGGCGGAATTGCATTTGTGAATTCAATATAATTATTTATCCTTGTATCGCCGACCCGGCATCAACAAAGATCCAGTACCGTCGCGAGCTGGGAGTTTAGCGGTGGTCGAGTTACTTCGTGGGCTTATACATGCTCCTTCTTGAAGGATGGCATTCGTCGGGCATAAATTCCTGGGGCTGAAGGGGTGATGCGGCGTTCTCTTTAGCTGTAGATATTTGGAGAAAATCACAAGCCACCCGGACAGCCGCCCCAGTCGGGCAACTAAACTTGAACAGGAGGGTAGTCTATCCTGCGATAGACTAAACTTGATAAAATGTTGCAACCGGGGAGATCAACAGGAGATTTCTTCAGGGGAAATTGACCAATCAGCATGTGGTTCCGTAAGAAACCCATACCAAATTTCTAACGTAACACTTTTCAAGTTATGAATTAAAATTGGCAAGCAGTGAGAGTGTGCTTTGTTCTATCCCGGGGTGGCATGGTGAGCGCGCGCGAATGACTTGTGGTAGAGTACCGTAATGAAAGCTCTTACCCCTCCCCGTTAAAACCGTCTCCTCCGGATACTCTACTGTATCATACGGCAGCAGATCTTTCCAATTCACAATCCTTGTCTCTATACTCGGCGGTGCAGTACGGTACTGTAGCTAGGGACATCCATTTCACCGACAGATTCACCACACGGGCTCGAAGCCCGTGATACTTATACCAGTCCTGGTGGGTGGCTGTGTGGTGCCGACCCACTGATTAAGTTAATACGGCGAGATGGGGGGGTTCCAACGTTGTCTTATCGGGAGGTTTTCTGGGGTGGCGGGGAATCTAATACGGGTATTCTAAGGGAGCGGGATAGCGAGGTATGATGTGGTTGAAAGTAAATTGTGTTGTAGGCCTGTGATAAGCATTCCTGGGACAAATAGGTGGGAGATTGTGATTTAATAGTGAAAGGGGTTGTGATAGAGATTGGAGGTTTGCCAATCAAAGGTTCTGGGTTGGGGCTCCACGGATAGTTGAATGAGATATGATAGTGACCTTTGCGGCAAAAATACCGGTGATTGATACCAATGATATCTGTATGAAGGCATCGAGAAAAGAGCCGCTTCATGGATTGAGTTCAAGCACATTATTGACGCCACTTACTCTATGATGGATCTTCCTGGTGCTCGAGTATATTTTTGTCTCGACTTCTGGTACTCGTACTGTGCAGCTCTACTCGAGTATGATACAGGTGGAATGCTCTCAAACAAACCCTTCTCCGGAGAAACTCTTTTCCGGCAGGTAACAAATCTCATCCAATCATGGCCAATCAGATAACTTAAAGTAAGTGCCTCCCCCCAAAGCCCGGATCCCGGAGAGCAAACAGAGTAGGGTTTGCCCTCCCTCCACCTCTTGTGATGCGTAAGATCGCTCGCGGAAACGATGGGGATCATCCACTGAAGCACTTTCTTGCTTCCCGGAGAACGGTGATCACAAGGGTATGAGAAAATTTTTCAAAAGGTTGGTTGCCATAGTAGACTAGACCATCCCGCTGCGGTGTGACCTCAACTGAGATTTTGGGGAAGGGATTTCGGTATGGGAACTTTTGTTTTTTTTCGACTTGGGAGATTTGTGGAGGAGCGCTGGGCGTGGGTTTTGGTCAATTGATGATTAGGAGTGTTTGTTAGCAATTGGGTATCGTATATGATACTTGTTCGTTATTTTCGGGAGTGTAAACAATTCCTTATCTCCTCCCCACCAGAGGTCAATCGTCAGTCGGGCTCAATGGATGTGAAAGAGCTGGATTCCTTTTCGACTCTGGATACAGAAAGTGTATGCTATCATACGTGGAAACCGCACGAGACAGGGTCCGAGAAGGATTTTTAGGTATCATACTGGATATTTTATACTTCAATGGATAAGTATGTCTTGTCTCTAGGTTTATCCTGGCGAGGTGCTGGTATTGCGCCTTATCTGCGGTCTCACTCTTGGAGGGGCAGAATCCTGGTTCCCCTAGCTTGCATCAATTCTTGGTGGGGGACCCCGAAGGGAAAAAGAAAACCAAAAGGAGAACTCGACGGCAGAGTCACAACAGGGCCAGAAAATCCTCCTCATCCCCTCTCATTCTTTCCCTCTCATTCTTTCCCTTTCACGTCTCCTACTTCCAACCCTCCTCCCCCCCCCGCAAAGTCGTTAATAGGCGATAGACGGGAGAAAGAAAGGGACAAGAAAGTGAAATCGTCATTCATCAATCGAAGCGAGTCTTCTCGCTCTCTGCCTCTCTTTCTTGGTTGTTGATAGTTTCTTTTATGCCCCACTAATGATGGCTCTTCCTCGCAGCCTCGCATTTCGAGCATTGCGACCCTCCCCGACGGCGTTCTGTCCTAAGCCAGCGAGGTATTTATCCTCGCTACAGAAACTCATTCCTACGCCTCCAACGACTTGCAATTCGGTAAAGACCATCGCCAATTCGCAACGGTGGTTATCCATACAGCAAGCCCGTACGTTCTCTTCTACTCGAAAATTATTTGAGTCACAGGAGGCCCCATCGGCGCAAGCGTACCTGGCTTCGGGTGCAATCGCCGGCGGGAGGGATTTGGTGGACGTTACCAAAGTCCTGGTTATCGGGAGTGGGGGTCTGAGCATTGGGCAGGCAGGAGAATTTGATTACTCGGGTAAGGGAACCATCTTGTTTTTTTTCGGAGGTGAGTCATAGGATGTCAATCGCTCATGGAAGCTTTTTTTCTCTCGCTTAGGCTCCCAGGCTATCAAGGCCTTGAAGGAGGCGGGGAAGAAGTCGATTCTGATTAATCCTAATATCGCGACTATTCAGACCTCACATTTCCTTGCGGATGAGGTTTATTATTTGCCTGTTACTCCCGAGTATGTGTCACATGTGATTGAGCGGGAACGACCTGATGGTATTTTTTTGACCTTTGGTGGTCAAACTGGCCTCAATGTCGGTGTTCAGATGGATAAGATGGGTATTTTCGACCGTATGGGCGTTAAGGTTCTGGGAACTCCGATCAAGACATTGGAGACCAGTGAGGACCGGGACTTGTTTGCGAAGGCATTGAACGGTAATCACCCTCTTGATACCTATTGGCGTTCCCCTTGAGGATCACTTTTTTTTTTCCCGTTAAATCCTTCAATGGTCTGAGAGGGGGGGGACTTGAGAGTCGCAATTACTGACTTGGAATAGAAATTGAGATCCCGATCGCAGAGTCTATCGCCGTTAACTCGGTAGACGAAGCTCTTGATGCCGCCGAAAAGATCGGTTATCCGATTATCGTCCGTTCTGCATATGCTCTTGGTGGTCTTGGATCTGGGTTCGCTAATGACAGGGAAGAGCTCCATGATCTCTCCGCTCGTTCACTCTCTCTTTCACCGCAGATCCTTGTCGAGAAATCGCTCAAGGGCTGGAAGGAGGTCGAGTACGAGGTTGTCAGGGATGGATCAAACAATTGTATCACAGTTTGCAACATGGAGAACTTTGATCCATTGGGAATTCACACCGGTGATTCCATTGTCGTGGCTCCATCTCAGACTCTGAGCGACGAGGAGTACCACATGCTCCGATCTGCCGCTATCAAGATCGTTCGACACTTGGGAGTCGTCGGCGAGTGCAACGTTCAGTATGCTCTCCAGCCCGATGGATTGGACTACAGGGTCATCGAAGTTAACGCCCGTCTCTCTCGTTCCTCCGCACTTGCTTCCAAGGCTACCGGTTATCCTCTTGCGTACACCGCCGCTAAAATCGGTCTCGGACACACTCTTCCAGAATTGCCAAATGCTGTTACAAAAACCACCACTGCCAACTTTGAGCCTTCACTCGATTACATCGTCACCAAGATCCCCCGCTGGGATTTGAGCAAATTCGCTCATGTCAAGCGTGACATTGGTTCTTCCATGAAATCTGTTGGTGAGGTTATGGCAATCGGGCGTACCTTTGAGGAGTCCATCCAGAAGGCAATTCGCCAGGTCGACCCTCAATTCCTCGGTTTCCAGGGTGCCAAGTTCGACGACCTCGACTTTGAACTTGCCAACCCTTCGGACCGCCGATGGCTCGCCGTGGGCCAGGCAATGCTTCACGAGAACTACACCGTCGACCGTGTCCACGACCTCACCAAGATCGACAAGTGGTTCCTATACAAGCTCCAGAACATCGTAGACAAGCACAGAGAACTTGTAGAAGTCGGCTCCCTCTCCGGCATAACCCGCGACATTATGAGCTCCGCCAAAAAGATGGGTTTCTCAGATAAGCAGATTGCGGGATGCGTAAACTCCGTTGAACAAGAAGTCCGCGCTCGCAGGAAGAGCTTCGGTATCAAGCCCTTCGTCAAGAAAATTGATACACTGGCAGCTGAATTCCCGGCGGATACGAATTACCTGTACACAACCTACAACGCCATCAGCCATGACGTCGAGTTTGACACTCATGGGATTGTAATTCTTGGCTCAGGTGTTTACCGCATCGGTTCTTCCGTAGAATTCGACTGGTGCGCCGTCTCCTGCACTGTGGCACTTCGAGAAATGGGGAAGAAGACCATCATGATAAATTACAACCCGGAGACGTACTCCACCGACTTTGACACGGCCGACAAACTCTATTTCGAGGAACTAAGCTACGAGCGAGTAATGGACATCTACGAACTCGAATCTGCGGCAGGTGTCGTGGTCTCCGTTGGTGGTCAACTCCCCCAGAACATTGCCCTCAAACTCCAGAACAACGGTGCTAGGGTCCTCGGAACCAACCCAGAAGACATCGACCGTGCCGAAGACCGTCACAAGTTTTCGAAGATCCTAGATAGCATCGGCATCGACCAACCTGCCTGGAAGGAACTCACGAGCGTGGAAGAAGCCCGCACCTTCGCCGAGGAAGTCTCTTACCCGGTCCTTGTCCGACCAAGCTATGTCCTCTCCGGCGCAGCAATGAGTGTAATCCGCAACGAAGCGGAACTCGAAGCAAAGTTACTGAACGCATCGAGCGTGAGCCCCGACCACCCTGTCGTGATCACAAAGTTCATCGAGGGCGCCATGGAAATCGACGTCGATGCCGTAGCCTCGAACGGGAACCTTATCGTGCATGCCGTATCCGAGCACATTGAGCCCGCAGGCGTACACTCCGGCGACGCAACACTAGTCCTTCCACCGGTCACACTGGACGAAGAGACAATGTCTCGCGTGAAGCAGATCGCAGAGAAAGTTGCGAAGGCCTGGGAAATCACAGGACCCTTCAACATGCAGATCATCAAAGCCACCGAAAAAAATAAGGTGGCCCTAAAAGTAATAGAATGTAACCTCCGCGCCTCCCGCTCCTTCCCCTTCGTCTCCAAGGTCCTTGGCACAAACTTCATTGACGTCGCCACGAGGGCGCTCATCAATAAAGAAGTGCCCGCACCAACGGACCTGATGATGGTGAAGCGCGACTATGTCGCCACCAAGGTGCCGCAATTCTCCTGGACCAGGCTGGCGGGTGCGGACCCCTACCTCGGCGTGGAAATGGCGAGCACGGGGGAGGTGGCGTGCTTCGGTAAGGACCTCGTGGAGGCGTACTGGGCCTCGCTGCAATCCACTATGAACTTTAAGGTGCCACAGCCCGGTACGGGCCTGCTGTTCGGCGGTGACACGACGGAGAGGGACCTTAAGGCCGTTGTAAAATTCCTTGCGCCGAAGGGGTATAAACTATACGCTGTCTCCCCCACTGTGAAAGCGCACCTAGAAGAAGCAGGAGTCAGTGTCGAACTCATCGAATTCCCGAAAACGGACAAGAGGAAGCTTAGGGAGGTGTTCCAGAAGTATGACATCTCGGGCGTTTTCAATCTGGCAAACGCGAAGGCGAAGTCGTTGGTTGACGAGGACTATGTCATGAGGAGGAATGCTGTGGATTTCAATGTTCCGTTGTTTATGGAGCCTAAGGTTTGTTCTCCCACCCCCCCTCTATCCCTTAATTAAAGTGTTTGATCTCACAATGATGACGATGGTGGAATAGACCGCCGTGCTCTTCGCCCAATGCCTTAGTGAAAAGCTACCACTTGAGAGAGAGAAGATTCCCGGAGAGGTTAAGAGGTGGTCGGAGTTCATTGGCGGGAAGCCGTTATAGGGTTGTAATTTGTAGTATTATGGGCGACGAACAAAGATAATTTTACTTTTTTGCCTTTAACATTTTTTCTCCCTTCTCGTGCGGTAGTTTATTTTGCTCCTCCTCTCTTTGGTCGTGGTTTTTGGGCGATGTTTGGACAAAAAAAAAGGGTTATTCTTGGTGTGATTTAATTCGATTAGTTTATTGAGGTGATTTTGGCTGGAACCGGGCGGAAGGAAAGGTAGGGTGGGTGGATGGATGGATGAATGGGTGTTGTATATATAGGTCTGGGGGGGCATCAAAAGTCGCTCATTTTTGGTTCTACAGGTACTGCACTGTTACTTGGCTTGCAGTATCGAAGGTGCTGTATTGGGTGGATACCACAGGTATGGTACCTCGCCGTACATGTGACGGCTGTATTGTCGGATGGTTTAACTTTGGAGTAGTTCAGGCATCATATTCGAGTGTAATATAGACTGATAGACTACCCAAAGTCAGCAGTAGGGAGGAGCAGTGTTAATAGTGTGCTGCAACTCTATCCCCCCCCGCCAAGACATATACTCTTCCAATCTCCTCGTTTCGTTACATGATGATGCCAGATTCCTGCTTTCTTTCCTGAACTCTTGTGAAAATATGAGACCCGGAATCCTAGCATATGCGCACGAAACTTCCCGGGACTAGCATTGGAAATATTTACTAGTCTACTGACCATAACTTAGTGCTAACAGGTCCGTCCAAACCACCCATAAGTGAAATCGTCTGAATTCCGCAACCTTATATTCTACCGGCATCTCGGAACAAGTGACAGATGTCCCCTGAGATATGGCTCCTGGTCAACCCGGAAGCAATCATGCCTAACCTGTGGGATACTAGGTGTGGTGTGTAGGGCACATCGGGGGGTCACTAAATATCAACAATATCAACACGCGGGCGTACTATAAACCCTTGCGGATAGCCTTACTGCAAAATGGATTGGCCAGTCCCTCCCTACTCATCGCTTCTGCCAGTACCCCCCCTCCCCGGAGTGCAGTCCTAAGTTGCGGGGTTCGGTGGGTTGAATGCCAGCAGTCCGTGGGGGTGACCGAATTCTCGGGGGAAGATTGGTCGGGGGTGTGACGTTAATTCGGGGCGGTAGGTTTGGGTTGTGGTTGGTTTCGTAAAAGGGGTTTTTTTTTTTTTTTGGTTCTTTGGTTCTGTATCGTTTGCTTGCTCATGTGTTGGGGTTGGACTACCGTAGGGTTTCTCTGTGGGGCGTTGGGTAAGCTTCTGGGGGATAGGTGTATGATAGTTGTATATTGTGACTTGTGAATGGGTAAAGTCTGGGAGCTCATGTCTTGTTCTGACCGAATCGACTTCGATGGAGGGGGGATGCTAGGATCCGCATCCGGAATCGTGGGGCTGGGTTGGTGTCGGGTTTGGGGTGTTTCTTCTCGCACTATTTCTCTCGACTATTCTCGACGGCTGAATTGCGTTGGGGATGGTGGCCGTGAGGTGGTGAGCAAAAGACTCGGTCGAGGTTAGAATAACCTTGGTGGCTGGAAGATAGATTTCTTAGCATTAGTGAGAGAATAGGAAGAGGATCGGTTTGCAGATGGTATGATAGTGGATGACGGTAGGTCTTGGAATGCATACGAGAAGTCGCGGGCGTCGTCAGACATCAGCACTGGGTTCTTGTGGCTGGTATGGTATCAGATAGGGAGTTCAGATGTGAATATCTGGGCTTTCCTTCAGGGCAGCGACTTTCCCGTGTCTTTTCTATCCGTACTCCCAGGCATAGCTCTTGAGAAAAAGAGGGGTTGTGATGGTGGAATAGGGTAATGTGTTTGGGTGTGTGGGGATTGCCTGCTTGCTCCTCGCTGGCAAAAAAAAAGAGGGATTTGAAATTGGCGGCTGTATTTGGGTATAATATAATGCCTGTATTGCGGCTGGCGGACATTCCTCTAAAACGCCAGGTCGCCGCTCCCGTTCTCGACGGTGGGGACTCCATTTGATCCATCTCAGCCTAATCGTCCAAACCGGCCAGCCGGGCATATTGCATGCCCCCACACACGACTGAGCTCCCCCGGGACTCTGCATTTCCCATGCCTTTCAGGATACTAGGATAATTGGGGTGGAGAGAGAAGAGAGAGGCCTGCTAGGATGTCACTCCGAAGAATAGGCAGAACATCAATATTTCTCGGAAACTGGTAAAGTTATTAGAAATGTTACATTCCTCTCGGACGGAGAACTCGTCAACCACACTACCTTTATCGTTCTCTGGAAAAAAGACAAAAAGAAAAGAGAAGGAAATGCAGTTCTCGAAGTCTCTTGTTATAATTGCCACCCTTGGCTTCGCCGGTGCGAGCCCGGCTTTCCTTTTGCCTCGCGGTGACTGCCTGAACTGCTTGATGGTTTGCGCGACCACTTGCAAACGTGCGACAGCTTGACGGGAAGACAGAGCACATTGCTTGACGCGGTGCTGTTAGTATCTCCCATTGGGCTTATATCAAGACTTTTGCTTATCCTGGTTATAGGCCCTGTCTGCTCTGGTGATGGCGTCAATATTTGAACAGAACCATACACCATCCCTTAAGGGGGTTGTTTGCTCCCTTCTCTTATGGTGTGTGTATCAGACGCTGACTGACTTGGGGTGTAGAGCAACGATTTAGCCTGGTGGGAGTGGTGGCGTGCTAAGTAGTCGCGAGTAATGTTAAAGATTGCTATAAGAGTTCGTGTACGAGGGAAAGAAGTAGGGTCAATTCAGAATTATCGCTTTCCGCTTTCTCGAGATTAGTGTTCGGATAATTCCGTACTGTGAGAGGCCTCCTGTATAAGGTGGTGAGGGGGGGCGTTCTTAGGATATAGTATGATATAAACCACCGGGCTTCAATACATGATGGAGACCCACTTCAAGCCTCTCATATTGAGACCACGCCCTCTGGTCGTGAACGGTAGCGCGGTTATCCGCGAGTCCCACGGCACGGTACCATATTGTAAATACTTGATAGGGTACCGTACATTACACCAGTAGGTGCAGTATCCCAAAACGGTATTTTGCACTATAAAACGGTATTAAAACCTATAGGATTTTACGCCGGGTAATGTTGTCTTCTGAAATAGGGGCCCACGTTGTAGAAAGCACTGATGAGTGAAGTTTCCTTGGAAGAAGAGGATTTCAGCTCCCTAACCTGCATAGATTAAGGGGTGACTAGACAAAAGGCTTCAAGATGATGCTTTAGTGGCATATAAGGAGGATTGAATGTAGGGGGATGCTGCTGAGGAGGACCCAAGTTGGATCCAGGATATTCCTATCCGCACCGCCGGGGTTAATTGTGTGTTTGGAGACCTAAACCCAGGTTTCATTTCCCCTGCTGTACTCCGTGCATAGCCCCCTCATACATCCCCCTTTCGATCTAGAGCATTTCTGTATACTGGTCCGGCTAACGGCGTCTGGTAAGCCCACGGTGGGTTGCCGTACTGCATCATACTGTGCAGTATCATACGGTGCGTTATGTAAACTGATAGATTGAGCACCAAACTAGACGAGTGATTCTCTGTGATGGTGTTATAAAACCTAGGAAAGAATGCTGATAGCTGGGTTAGGAGCTTAGAGATAATGGCGGTCAAAAGCGGCAGTGTGTGTAAACTGCCTGAAGTAGAGTTGGCTTTTTTGCCACATACTATACTAGCAATAGCAACTTTGTTTATATTTTCTGGTACAGTATAGTAAGAGCATCGTCCATAATAACCTGGTAATTTCTTTCAGAGTGCACTGGTGGATTACTCTGCCGTCTCGGCTAGTTGGGCTAGTGCTAAATCCTGAATCGTAAATTCCCCTAGGCTCTGGTGGAAGGCCATTTATCAGAAACGACTCTTTGGACAAATACAAAGGTTCGCCGAACTGTATTGGGTTTGGCAAACGTGCTCCGCGGTCGTGGGAGGGGAGGGGTAGGTTATGGTAAGCTTAGCAACCTACTGTGACACCGCACTGCGCTGCGCTGCCCTTTACGGTGCTCGTACAGTTTTTGATGAACTGGGTGAATATAAAAAACCGTGGTCCCATCTTCACAGAAATTAGTCCGGCGTTGCGAGAATAGCTTTACGGGCTGTATCGTTATAAGAACTGTGCCGCGATGCTCGGCTCGAGTTAGGTGATATGTAGATTTTCCGACTGATTCATTCGAACGCTGGATGTACTTGCATATATACCGGTATACCGAGCCAGCCAGTTCCACCAGAGGCGCTCTAGGGCATCCGTCCATCGCGATGCTACTTGTATCACAGGATAGTGCTTAAAGGTGGTGTGGAATTTCCCGTTGCCAATGCGGTAGGCATAGGCAGGGTGTTGGCACAAATTTGGGGGAGATTGATTGGACGGCCCTGTGGTATCCTTGAGGTTCCACGAGAGGCCCCGCTTTTCTTCGGCCTCCAGGAAGTCTAGGAGCGGACTAACTTAACCCCACCAGAATCCGTCATCTGCACAGTATCCTGAGCAGCAAAGAAAGGCAAATGTCTCAGTCTTTCGGTAATAATATCAACTCTCTGAACACGACTGTTAATAGTTTAACGTTCGCCTATGACCGATCTGATATTTTGGCCTGGCTATCCCCACTAGGTCCCGGATTCCGGCACCGGGACATCCGGGACAACCGGGTCGAAAATGTGGGGGGATGGCTCTTACAAACGGAGGAATTCAGAAGCTGGTATGCAGGCAGTGGGGGAGGTAAATCTGATAACGCAGTTTTATTTCGCTATGGAGATCCAGGGGTCGGCGGGACATATATATTAGTAACAAGGACGGACCTCGATGAATGGGAGAAAAAGGGCAAGTGCTAACGGGACGTGATAGCTCGTTGGGGGTAGACAGCTTGTGCGATCGGGGTAGAGGATAGAATGTTGCTGTTGCGTGTTTTTACTTTGATTTCGCAACCAAAAAGGAGCAGTCATCGACGAGTACAGTACCGGTCTGCTGGGCGCCCTACTCAAACAGGTGGTAACTGGACTGGACTCAGGATTTGTATTTGTATAATACCGTAAAATACTGTTTTTTAACCGTTTAATATTATGAGATACATGCATTGTTTGATAGAAGAAAATTGTTCCCACAAAAGTCCGACAATTACTACTAGGAGTTGTGAATGGGGAAGAATACGTTTTATTGCAGGAAACCTAGTTACAAATTCATGTCGATTTGTGTAACAAGTTTTCAAAAAAGCCTCCCAAATAACATCTTAAGTTTGTTGAAGGTGTAAAGTGAAAATTTCAAAGACTTACATTGAATGCCAGTACGGAAGTTGCCATGCCAACCTCTAGTTAGGGTAGCGATTCAGGACACTTACCGGTACTGTACAGTACTCATATGGCGATCTGGGTATCAGGAATTGGAAGTGTCTGTTGTTATTGCTCGACTACCAAAGTGCGGGTGGGATTTACGCGCGAGCAATGGTTCCGGGCAATTGAGCTGATAGAGAATTCCGGCATCACAGATCGATCAGCCCGAGAAAAGAAAGAAGAAAAAAAAAAAAGACAGCGTTTCCTAGTCCTGTGGACGATGGAAGGGGAAAAAGAGGGAAAAAAGGGAAAAGTCAAGCAGGGTCGACAGTAACGTAGGCGAGTTAATTCGTGAGCAGCGTCCTGTTGGCCAAACTGTAGTGGGCACCCATGCTGGAGAAAATAAAAGATGGTTAAATATTCATACCCGTAAAAATTCGGGTATAATAAACTGGCCTGGGCTGCCTGTGCAGTAAATTTAGTTTCCAATGCTCGGAATGCCCAAGAGGAAGTCCAAAGACGCTAGCTTATGTCATCTGGCCCAGTTCATGAGCTCTCCATCAATCAAAGAGTCCAAATTTGCTGCACCATCAGTCCAGGCCAGTTCGTTATATCATACCCGAGCTTTTACGGGTAGGACCTGCTCCCTCTACTCAAGGACGATCGATCGGCTTAGAGGTGAGCGCATAAAGAAAAAGGACTATTCTTGTGAGTGAGCTCGGACTACCGGCAACTTTGGAATCTGGGTGGATGAGTGTGCCCGAGAGCTCAATATCTTGACTGGTTAGGCTCGAGTTTGGCTCACTTGGGGTGACAACAAGAGTCTAAGCATTGGGCCCGGTGATGATGGAGAATACCATTTCGCCTAGCAATAGGGTACTGTGCTCGAGTACTGTACAGTACCGTACAAGTAACGTATCATACAAAAGTCGAGTAATGCACCATACTCGTGCACAGCGATACTACCGGGGGGGGGGTGCCAGTTCGCTTTCTTGGACTTGCATCCTCATTAAAATTGACACTAGATAAATCATGTCCTGTATCACAAAGCAAAACATCATTCTCTCGCCTCACCGAAGCATTGATCTTCGCGCCCATTGGACATTATCTTTCCCTCTAGTTAGAGAATATATTTTTTTTTTCGTGGGTCCCCAGCTGGAATCCTGGGAGGGTGGGAAAACACATTTATTGGCGGGTTTTGAAGATAGGCAATATCCACTGCTGTGATGCAAAGCAACCAATGGCTGCCCGCAGCGATTGAGTACAGTACCGGCAGTGCGGGGGTGCTCTACCGAGGTTTCCGGGCACACTACGCACTACGCGAGTACTTTGTGGTCCACAGAGAAGGGTAGCCTCAAGACCTCCCAGCTTTTCGATTCC